ATTTCTGACCTCCAGCAGAATTCTCTTGCACCTTGGGTCAGTGCTAAGGAACAAGGGCTACAAGCAAACAGCACTGGTACTGCCAGTGCCTATGGGTGGATGGGGCTTATGCATGGACATGCTGGATGCAGGGGTGGTTCACATCTGGACACCACAGAAGAAGAATGGTACAAGGATGGTGAGATTTCAACATACTACTCAGATTGGCATACAACCTGAAACTTATGCATTGCTTATTTCTGGAATTTTCCACTTAACATCATGGACTACAGCTGAACAAAGGAAAGTGAAATCATGGATAAGGGACAACCATACAAAAAGAGAACCACAGACGAGTATACTTCACACACAGATGCCAAGAGTCAACAAAACATCAAATCAAACCCAGCAGCAGGTAAAGGTGAGGCACCACCACACGGGTTACTCCAGGAAGGTAAGGTTGGTCCGGCACAGCAGATGGCCACAGTGCGTGAATTCACAATGCGCTCACCAAGAAAGGCCACATGGAGCTCCTCCCATGAGAATAAGGGCTGAACAAAACAGCACACAATTAAAAAAAAAAAAAAATTCCAGCCAGGAGTGGTGGCGCCTGTGACCCCAACAACTTGGGAGGGTGAGGCAGGAGGGATGCAAGTTCCCGGCCAGCCTCAGAAACTTAGAAGACCCTGTGTCAAAATAAAAAATGAAAAGGGCTGGGGAGCAGCTCAGTAATAGAGCACCCCTGGGTTCAATCCCCAGCACACACAAACAACTCCTGGCAAGCTACAAAGAAGAAGGAAGCTGTTCAACCTGGTAAGTGCCCAACAAAAGCCTACACCACCACACTCAGTGGAAGAGGAGCCTTCGCAAGTCCAACCCTGTGCCAAATGCCAGCCAGGAAATGCAGGGAGCAAATGGACACTTCAGTGAGTCAGCCCTGCACACGCATCATGAGGACAACCAAGTACGGACCCTACCCAGTGCTGCTGAGTGCCTGGACCGCAGAGCCACAGCATGGTGGTGCTCCACTCAGGAGCACTCTTCTAGAAGGAGTCTGACAATGTGCTCACCAATCAGGCGCGGTGATGTATTCCTCCAGCCCCAGCTGCTGAGAGGCTGAGGCAGGAGGACCACTTGAGCCCAAGCACTGGAGACCAGCCTGGGCAGCACCGTGAGAACATGTCTCTAAAAGCAAATAGATATGCGAGATGATTCACTGTGTGACCAGGCCACCCACTCTCAGGCTCTGCCTTAGAGAAATCAGACCTGCTCATCATACACAATGTTACAGCAGCTCTATTCATGACTGCATAAATGAAACAAAACTGAACAAACAACAAAAAACATATAGGGGCTGGGGTAGTGGCTCAGCAATAGAGCGCTTGCCTCACACATGTGAGGCACTGGGTTTGATCCTCAGCACCACATGAAAATAAATAAATAAACAAATAAAATAAGGTATTGTGTCCATCTACAACTGAAACAACAACAACAAAAACAAAAACAAACAAACATGCTTCCAGGGGTGAACAGACTCCCCATGGTCATCCATGCACTGGACTCTGCCGCAGAGCAGGGCAGTGGCACCCTGACTCTCAAGAGGCACAATGCCGTGTGCAACAGTACACCACAGGCTGCATGGCCCCACTCACACACACCAGCCAGAAAGGACAGGGAGTGGCTGCTGGGTGTGCCTGGGAAGGGCAGGGGCCTGGGAAGACGGAGCCACCTGCATGCTGCCTACAGGGGTTAAATTCCAGAACTGCACCAAAAGGGGAAAAAACAGTTCTACTATGTGAAATTTAAAAAAGCACTAGGGAGAAAACTCATTTTACCTGTACAAAGCACAGCAGACAAGCAGCAGATGTTGAAGCAACAGATTCAGGTAACAGGACTGTGGCCTCAAAGTGCTGAGGAAAAATCACCCACCTAGAAAGCTAAGCCAAATAACCTGTACCAAGAAAGGGTGAGACGGGGTGGTTCAGGGCGACAGCTGCAATGCCGCCCTTGAGGTTCAGATGGCGGATGGCTTGCAGAGAGCCCAGGCACAGGAAGTCTGAGGCCCCTGGAGAAAGAATGCCAGTGTTCTTTCTCAAGACAAGCAAGACAGAGACACAAGAAACACCGCGAGCAAGGAGACACGCTGAAACTGGCACTGCTGTTGCATGCTTCAGAGTCAGTGTGCTGGAGAGACGTGACGGGACTGAAGTCCCAGCTGACACGAGTGCAGAGGACGACCAGAGGACAGCACAAACTGAGACGCGCTCACTGATGGGAAGAGATGATGCAGCTGAGCACCAAGGGTGCCAAACCTGGCTGGGTGTGGCTCAGAGGTGGAGTTTGCCCAGCATCTGCGGGAGACCCTGGGTTCACCCCCGAGCACTGGGAAAAAAAATAAAATAAAAAAGCTGAACACAACCCAGAGGCTCTACCCCCAGGTAGGGAGAGTTGAGAGAGATGAAAACACGTCCATGGGAAACAGCAAATGTTCAGAGACAGCATTTTCAGGGTGACTAGTAAGTGGAAACCACCCAAATGTCCATCAACCGAGTGGAGACACAAACAGGTCCCCACAATCCAAATGTAACAAAGTGGAACTCTGACACCACGCTGGGTGCCAGAAGCCAGACACACATCACCACAGGCCGATCCACAGGGTGAGGCAGATCTGAGGCCATTAGTCTGAGGGACAGGATGGAGTGGCTGCTGTCAGGTTCCTAAATTTAGTGATGTGAACACTGGTGACCAGGACATGAGCAGGGCCCTCACCTCCCTGGAGGGCAAGCACAGCAGGCCAATCCAGCTCACAGGTCTCCCTGGAGGATCCCCTCCTCTTCTCCCCTCTTCAGCTGCAGCCCCTCTCTGCACTGGGGTGGGGACCGTCCTTGGCTTTCCTCTAGCTCCTCCAGACCTGTCACCCCTGCAGGGTGAGGTTGAGGGGACACCTGCCCCCAGGACAGTAAAGAGGCACCTGCAAGCAATCCCCTTTCACTCACTGCCCCTTCCCCACCCCAGGGACCCAACAGGTTGGCAGTCCACCACCTCCACCGGCTTCTGCTCAGTTTCCACTCCCTGACCCACTTTCTACTTCCAAACGAGATTAGGACTCTTTGCTGTGGCCTTCTTCCCAACTTTGTCCCCACTCCTCTCACTCTGTAGTTCCATTTCTTTTTTACCTTCTTCTTTTGTGTGTGTGCTCATGCATGCCAGGGATGAAACCCAGGGCCTGGTGCGGGCGGAAACATGCTCTGCCACTAAGCTGTACCCGTCTATTTCCTCCTTCCCCCCTCTTTTGGCAGTGCTGGGGAAGAAACCCAGGGCCTTGTGCATGCTAAGCTGTTTCACCAGCCCTTCTGTTTTTTCCAATTTTATCTTGAGACAGGTCTCAGTAAGTTGCCCAGACTGGCCTTGAACCTGTATCCTCCTCAGCATCCTAAGTAGCTGGGATTAATAGATGTGCACCACCACACCCAGCTTCATTTTTCTTTGAAGGGAAAGAAAATGATATCAATGATCCCTCAGCTTTAACCTGAATTCATTCTAAGAAGATATATCGGGGCTTGGGCTGGGGATCAGCGGTAGCGCACTTGCCTGGTATGTGTGAGGCACTGGGTTCAATTTGCAAGTACCTCATATAAATTTAAAAAAATAAAGGTCTATCAACAACTAAAAAAATAATAATAATAAAAAAGAGTACACATTACAGATAAACAAATCCTCAAACATAGAAACCCACTATATTAAAACAAAACTTTGCCTGTGATTCAGTAACTCAGGAGGCTGACAGGAGGACTGCAAGCCTGAGGCCAGTCTCAGCAACTTAGCAAGGCCTTTTCTTGAAAAGTAAAAAGGTCTAGGGATGTACCTCAGAATAAAGCACTCCTGGAAAAATCCCAGGTACCAAGACACAAAACAAGACTTTAAAACCAATATTCAACTGAGCCTATCTAAAATTTTAAGTTTCACACAAACATTTCAAACCAAGGACTAGTATCCAGGGAGATGAGGAGGAAACCAGGTCAACATCCCAGTAGAACAGTGGACACAGACACAAACTAACAATTCCTGTAGGGGAATCCCAAATGAACAATGAACCTAATAGGGAGGGAGGCCTGACCCTACTGTGTCAGGAAATGTGCATTAGGATGGACTGTCCACACACAGTAAAGTCTGACAACATGAAACACTGCAGGGACAAAGGTGTGGGCACCTGCCCCAGAGCAGGTCAGCAGCAGCTAAGAAGGAGAGACCCCGTGGCCCAACTCTCAAGGTCCACAGAAGGTGGCCAGGTCTGTGCTGATGCTTACAGTCATCAATATTCAAAGACATGGTCTCAGGACAAAGGACCAAGTTGTGTCCTGCAGCTACACACCACATAGCAGCGGGACGTGCCCAGAGAGCCACCACACGAGGGGCCTCTGACAGGTGAGTGAAAAAGCCAGCCACCTGCCCTCATCTCAGGGCACTTTCTACACACTGTAAAACATAACACTCTCAGAAACAGAGATAGAGCTCAAAAACCCAGGCAGAATGAGTGACAATCAGTGACAAGCATGTACATGACAGCACATCCCAAGCAGTCCTGGTGCTCACCCTCACTTGCTCGGTGCCTTTCTACCCAGTGACATCTCAAAACACCCAGTGGGAGGGGTGAAGGAGGTCACACTTCCTCCCAGCGGTTAACACACCAGCGAGCCTGGTGGCACAGCCTGGGACTAAGCGAGCACCCACACCCACGCCCCACCCACACAGTCCTGGGAACAAGCCAGGCCAGGATCCTTGAGTGGCTCCCTGCATGCAGGGAGGCCAAGGGTCTACTCCTTTGCCCTACCACAGGCAGGCCCAGGATAGGGTGGTCACATGGGCCCTTGCCTCACGGGAATCTCTGGGGAGCTGGCAGCAGGGAAGGCAGCCCCAGTTGTTAGAAAAGGCCCATAGGAAAAGAAGAAGGCTCCAGAGGGTCACCACTGCCCAGGCGGAAGCCACAGGCAATCTGAAGCCAGATGGACACAACTCACCACAGAGGTCTGAACAGTTTAATAGTGATTTCTCCTCAGCCTGATGGTGTAGCCAACATGGGGCGGGGCTAGACACCGCTTCTCAGCCTGGCCAGCACAGACGGGCTCCTGTCCCAAGAGCACCTGGATTCTGAGCACCCTTTCTCTTCTGAGCACTCTATAGACAGAGGCCCTTCTCCCAGCGCAGACCACGCCTCCTTTCTGATGACTACACCAAAGGCACCAGGCCACCCACCACACTCCTGCGGCTCAGACAGCTCTGAAGCTCCCCTCTGGGCACCCCACCCAGGAACTCTCCCCACACTGCACAGAAAACAGTGAGGGCAGTTCTGATGGGAATCAGAAGAGCTCTGGCCAATCCCACCAGGGACCTGGGATGAGCCATCCAGGGTCTCTCCACTCTCTGCCAGCTGAGGACTGGCCAACAGCTTCTTCCTCATGTGACAGTGAGCATGGCTGCAGGCTGAGGCCTCCCCAGCACCTACACCCAGACTGCCTGCCCTGCACAGCAGGGCTCTTGACCAGCATGTCAGCTCCTCACTGAGCTCCTGCACCTGCTGAGGGGTGGCTACAGCCCAGTCAGGTCCACAATGGCCTTGATGAAGATGGCATCATCTCGCACGTAGGAATTCTTGGCCTCCATCTTGGACACAGGGCAGAAGAGGGGGCAGCCACTGGCAATGTTCATGTCGCTGACTGGCCTCTGGAAGGAGGATGAGGTTATGTCGGGCCTGAAGGCATCGATCACGTGCTCCCGGTTGTTCTGGTCCAGCAGCATCAACGTCACCTGACGGGAGGCAGCCCAGGGAGGGGGACAGGTACTCATGAGTCACCCAAGACCTCTTGTGCTCTGGCTCCCAAGAGACCTGAAGTGGCTATACACTCCCAGAATAGAGCACTTGGGCACCCTGGCCACAATGTGCTCCGCGTCTTGCTTAAGAATGTGCCCTTGTTGGCACCTGTGTGTATTGATAACTGGAACCTCAGGTCAAAGGGGCTGCTCCCTGTGCTGCCTCTGAACAGCACTGACAGAGAAGCAGCACACTGCCCACCTGGAGGAAGGCACTTCTGGAGAGAACCCCAGACCCCCTGGCCGCAGACTGCTCATCGGCACTGGGCCTCCTGCCACTCCCCTCCCAGCTGCCCCCTCTGCTGGCTGCTGGAAGGATGGTGGAGGGAAGGGTCATCCTCATTCCGACCTGGTCTCAAGCTTCAAATGCTCAACCAATATGGACCTGGTTTCAAATACTCAATCATACCCCCAGATAGCCCTGTGGCTGCCACCTTCCTCTGGAGCACATGCTCCCAAATGGACCTTCAACCCTAGTGGTGGATCATGAAGCCAGTTGCCCATATCTTAACCAGCGCTCAGTAACCATGGAACAGACTAGAAACTACCAAAGCCTCATGCACCTGCTGCACCCTGAAGGACTCCCAGGAACTCCCGCAGGCAAAGGGATGGCCTCTCACACCTTCCTGTCCCAGACAACCTTGCCTCTTGGAAGTTGCACCCCAGGGGCTCCCAGGCACTCCCCAGACAAGGGAATGGCCTCTCACACCTTCTGGTTGAAGGGCCACCGCAGGAGGGCATCATTGGGGCCTTTCATCACCACAAAGAAGAGAGACAGATGTGTTCCTCTTCCGGTGCCATCACCGTTCAGGTAGACTCGAAGACACATCTTGTAGCCATACCTGCTGGTGTAGAAGGCTGGAGAGATGGGAGGGCCAGTTAGGGCAGCAGCACTCTTCCTGCCAGGAAGCCCTCCCACAGAGAGACGAACACAGGAGAACATCCAGCTTCCAGGGTACCTAAATATGCAGTTGCTTGCTAATGGAAGTAGTTTTTCTTTATAACAATTAAAATAGCAATTTTAGGAACCCTAAATGTTACCCCTATTCTGGCAATGCACAAAATAACCGTGAACCTAGAGGTGAGGAGCAAGAACCACCCACTTCAGCATCTGGAGCAGAGGTGGGAGCCAACCTGCCTCAGGAGAGGAAACCACCAGGCAGAGGCCCAGAACAAGCTCGAGGTAATGTCCCTTACATGCAACGGTGCAGAGTCAGGAGCAACAGCTGCAGCCTGGACAGGCCACATGGGGCACAATCTGCCACTCTGGACAGAAAACACAGCCAGGGACTGTGATGGCTCATTTCAGTGGCATCTGACTGGTTAAGGAACACCTAGAGAGCTGGGAAAGCATTGTCTGTGGGCATGTCTGTGAGGGTGTTTCCAGAGGAGACTGGGGGGGCAGTGGAGGACTGAATGGTGAAGACCCAACCAGCCATGACCCAGAAGGAGCACAGACAGAAGAAGGCAGGTTGGTCTACCTCCCCTGGAGCTGGACAACTATCCTCCCTGCTCATGGACATCAGAGACCAGGCTATCCAGCTTTTGACTACAGGACAAGTGTCTGAGGCCCGGGTGTCCTAAGGCCTTCAGACTTGGGCGTAGCCTTGCTTTTAGCAGCCAGGTCTCAGTCTGCAGCGAGACCTGCTGTGGCCTGCTCGGCTCTGCCATCTGGCAGTTACTTCTAGCAGCCCCTCTGGTGCACTTATGTACTCATCTGCTGTACAGTGGGTCTGGAGTGTTCCCCTGGGCCCATGTACTGAAGGTTTGAACCCAGCCTGTGGCACTGCTAGAAGGTGACGGAAACTACAAGGTGGGGGCCTATGGGGAGGTCTTCCAGTTACTGGGGGTGGACCCTCGAAGGGGAGAGAAGAACCCCCAATCCACTGCTCTGTCAACTCTCCATCCGTCATTAGACAGAGGAGTTTTGCTTCTCCACAGCTCCCTGCCATGAAGTGCTGCACAGGCTCAGAACAGTGGGGCCAAGCCACCATCGACTGACTGCAGGCTTCAAAACTCAGAGCCAAAATACATCTTTCCCTCTTTTTTTCTTTTGGGATTGAACTGGGAGGCTGGCACATGTGGGCAACACTAAGATTTGCCACTAGCCTGCAATCATCCATTTTTTACTTATTTACTTTTTTTTAATAACTTTTTTTAAAAAAATTGTCTACAGACATTGATTTTATTTATATGTGGTGCTAAGAACCAAACCCAGTGCTTCACACATGCTAGGCAAGCACTCGACCACTGAACTGCAGCCCCAGCCTTCAATCTCTCCTCTTTAGGAAGTGCTGACTACACAGACTCCACCCTGTCAGTTCCACAGTCTCCCCCCACACTGCCGTGGAGCACCCTGACAGTCCCACAGACTCCCCCCACACTGCCCTGGAGCACCCTGACAGTCCCACAG